TAATAATAAAAATATATAATAAACGACTAAAAGCATAAGTAAAAAATATTGGCAATAAAAACCAAACATTCCATACACTAATGAAATCCAAATAATAACTAATAGTAGTATTAATAATAATAATAATAATAAAACTTTTAAAATCCCAATTGTTTTCTCCAAAAAAGTAATTAAAAAAAAAAAATCTCAATCCTTAGAATATACAAACCCATTTTCCTCCCGTTTTCCATCCGTGATCGTTGATACCTTCTCCCTCTCTCCTCCTCTTATCTTCATTTCCTCTGCTTCCAACTCCAAACACTAGTTCTGATTTTTTTATTTTTTTTCTATCTTTTTCTTCAAAATCTGAAATCTCTTCGTTTTCTTGGAGTTTTGTTTCATCATCAATATATATCAGATTTTTGTTAGAATCCGACGAGGGTTTTCCTTGTAAGGTGTATTTATGGCGCCAGGAAGCCAACGGCAGAAATCTTACCCACACATCAAAAACCTTTTCTTTTGCCTTTTCTTTTTCTCTGGTTGATGAAGGAAGAAGAAAGTAGATTTTTTTTTTTTTTCTTGTTTTGCTATTCTAATTTGTTTGTTTCTACTGATTGTTAGATTCTCCCCATTTTTTTTTTCCAATCACGTAACCACTTTATGTTTTAGCCAATAGAAACAAGCCACACATCCCCTTTTACAAAATTTTCTCGAGAAAAAAAAGAGGAAAACAAACCACCCTCCCCCTTTCTCTCTTTTATATAAACCCCCCCATTTGGGCTTAAGTTAAGCTGTGTGCATGGATGGGATTGACAGTCGTGGTTTGCGGCTGTAGCATCATCAAGATTCACATCCAAATGCTTTTTCCTCTCTTCTGATCTCTTTGCTTAAGTTGATTGAAAGTGAGAATCTTGATGATGCTGCATCGGCAATAAACGACTACATATATTTATGCAAAAAAAAAGGGCGGCTCTTAATTTCCCCCAGTGCAGTTCTGTTGCTGTCAGGTGGGTATTTATATATATAGATATGCATATATCCTTTTGCAAACAGAATCCAATCCATAAATGGGTTTTCATGTATTATTTGTTTTTAATGTCTGCATATATATTCTTTTTCTTACCCTTTGGAGGTGATTGATGACTATTGCATAGCGTCTGTTGTGAAGGGGAGGGGCTTTTTTCATCTGTGTTTCACTTTGCAGATCATCTGTTTGACTATTCTCCTGAACCAAAATCCACACACAATGATAAATAAGATAATTTCTTTAGATCTATTTTGGATTTAACACAGATTCAATTTGATGATTTTGAACTCAGCCAATATATAGATAGTTACTCTTGTTTTTGATGGTTTTATAAATTAACCTATCTTTGATCTAGATTCTTTTTTCTAATTGAACAGTTTCGTTCTAATTTTTGCAGCCTTGCAGAAGCAGTATACGTATATATACGTTTTAGATTCTGTTTTTTTTTTTAATGGGGTTTTATGATAAATACATGAACTAATTAATACGCAAGTTTTTTTGTTCTTCTTCCCAGTTTCACAGCACATCCTTTGTCTTTACTTTGAAAGAAAAATTCAAAAATCAAATTGTATTGTAGAGATTCTTCACAGGTGGAGTTTGGCTTTGGAAATTAGTGCATCTTTGAAAATTGGAACTCTGCTCTTTCTCTCACTGTTGAAACTAATTAAAAGGTAGAAACATTATGTCATGCATATGTACATTGTCATCCATTTACACTCACTTGTTTTGTGGACCAAACCAAGCATTTTGCAACTTGGATCTATTCTTTCTCCTCCTCAATAATACAAGTAGCCCCCCAATCTTGAAACTTTTTTCGATTTGATGCATCAGCCTCACCCCACACGATTCTGGACAGTTGTGATTATTCAGTATCCATTTATACCCCCACAAATATCATGGAAATCTGTGTTCATGCTTAGCTTAATTATTTGTATACATCTATATCAATGTCCTTGCGTTGCAAGGTCCCCATATTCTTTGCTGCTCCATATATTAATTGAAGGGTAGACTCTAATTGCTGCATTAATCTAAATCCTAACCCACGTATGGTTAAAATGTTGTTCTGCCCACTCATTCACCCACGTACCTTTTGAATATATAGAAGTTCTTAACTTATTTCTGAGACATCTTACCTATGACAATTCATATAAGTTAGCTTTATTTGGCCCTTCTACTTTACCTCTATTCCTGAGCTATCAGGAACATATGTTATTAGGTTCTTTCTAGTGTACTCCAATGGATTGTTACTCGAATCAGTTGTCGTTTAGTTAGCATTGTATATTGGGGATTATTTATGATCAATTTAATGACTTGGTTTTTTTTTTTTTTGCTTAATTAAAAGTAGTTAATTAAATAGTTTCATGTTCAGAATTAAATCAGAAGAAGTCAGTGGACTTTAAGTTGATTATCCCCTGTCTTCAGCGGTATGCCGTGCAGATACTACTGATGTCAAGCTCTTTTGCTTTTTTTAACATTTTGTGTGGTTTGGTGTTGGGAATTCGCATATAGCTTCTGGTATTCTTCTCTTTTATTGTTATGTACCCATTTTTGTTTTTTTTAACTAGTATAGAAAGATTAATAATTCAACAATATAAAAATTTAAATCTTTAATTTTTAAATTTTTATATAATTAATATTAACTCGATTAAAACTTTAATAGTATTATATATTATTTTTTATTTAACTATAAAAGTAGTTTATATTAATTTGTAGGTATTTTATTTTATTTTTCATCTAACCGAGTGTAGGTCATTTATGTTCGAAATAGAAAATTAAGGAAGAATTAATTAGCTCTTATGGTCAACCAAGCTGGCAGACTGCCAACTTTAACTTTGATTTAACAGTTGTACTTCTTCTTGCAATTATTTTGCGTGATTGGAAAAATTCAACTTGTGCAACCAATTAAAATGTGTTTATTTCTTTTGTGGATATGCATAAATAATTTTCCAAGAAGCTTCATACATAAAAGATATATAGAAAATCTTATTTGGAAAAAAATGAAACTGATGATAGCTGGTATGTTTAGGTGGCAGCTGTCTCGACCTGAATAAGAGTATATCATTGGTAGAAACATCACTGCATTTTGAGGGTTAGGTTAATGAAAAGGAAACCCAACAATTGCAAAAAAAAAAAAAAAAAAAA